GGGTTTTGTGGTTTAGGGTTTCGGGTTTATGGTTTAGGAACCTTAAACCCCTAAACCTTGAAACTCAAACGTAGAGCTGGGCTGGGCATGGCATTGGACGATCTGCCTCCGCGTCCTTGCGGAAGCACCGTGCGCAGGGCTGCTCCTTGGCCCCAAGGGGTTTAGGATTTGGGGTTTAGGGTTTAGTTTAGGGTTTAGGACTTAGTTAGGGGTCAGGGCTCAGTGTCCAGGATTTTTGTGGGAAGGCACAAAACTCTAAACCCTAAAGCCCAAAGCCTGAAACCGCCTAAGCCCCCACGACCAAGTTGATGATCTCGGAATGTCGGGCGTTGTGCTACTTGTGCTCTTCGGGCTGCAGAATCTGTGGCCACAAATCTTGGGGTTTAGGGGTTTCGGGTTTGATCTGCCGATGTTTGAGGGCATTCTGGGTGACTAAAAGGATTAGGGTATACGGTTAGGGTTTCTAGCTATAGACCTATGATCGCATAGCCAGAAAAAGGAACCCTGAAATGTGGTACAAGCATGTATAATTAAACATATTCCGGAACCCTGAGGAAGAATATCGGTGACGATTCCGGCTTCTGTATTACGCCTCCAACTTAAGCCCTAAACCCCAGACCCCCAAACCCTAACCTAAACCCCAAAACCCTTAAACCCTAAACCCCTAAACCCCAGACCCCCAACCCCTCACCCCAAAGCCCAACATCCCTGAATCCCTAAACCTCTAACCCCTAACCCCCCAAAACGCAAAAAATAAATCCTTGAATCCCAAACCCTAAAACCCTTAACCCTCAAAGCCCTGAATCTAAACCCTAAACCCTAAATCCTAAACCCTAAACCCTAAACCCTTAACCCTTAAAGCCCTGAATCCCTAGAACCTTTGGGCCGCCTTCATGGTCACCTGCAACCCGAAGAGGCGCAGCCCCACTTCCTGGAACAGGGCGGTCTCGGGCCTAGGGTTTAGGGCCTATAGGGTTGAAGGCATTTAATTTGGTTTAGGCTTCTTGTTTAAGGGGCCGGCTGAAAGGGGTTTAGGGTTTAGGGCTTAGGGTTTGGGGTTTGGGGGCTTTGGGTTTGGGGTTTAGGGTTAGGGCTCAGGGCATTAACACAAGAAAACCTACCTTTCCAGGGACTGATCTCCGGACATCGAAAAAAACAAGGAGCCCTAAAAAGATTGCTTGGTTGGGTGGGATTGACCCTAAACCCTAAAAACCCCAAACCCTAAGCCCCAAACCCCAAACCCTAAACCCCAAACCCTGAACCCTAAGCCCTAAGTGTTGGTGGGATTGTTGGGGGCAAGGCGGGGGTTGTGTTCATGGATTGTTTGGAAAACAGCAGATCCTCGTTGCTGAGTTTCCCGGGTGGGAGGAAGGCAAACCTCCGGCCCCTGCAAGGGTCCGAAATACCTTTTCTGGAGCATACTAAAGGGTCAAGGTTTAGGGTTTAGGGTTTGTCCGAAATTCGTATTATAGAAACCCCTACATTCTAGTATGGAGGTATTTAGGGTCCTTAGGGGGTGAGAGGTGACGTAGAGCCTCCATCGTGGTTACTTTCTTAGCAGTGACCTTATAGGACTTTAAGTGTAGATCGGGTTAAACCAATAAAAAGGAAAGACAATACTGTAGAGACTGAAGATTAAAACAACAACTCCAACACGGTAAATTTTACCTACTCAACTACTAAGGCGGCTATTCACGGTTTCCTTTAATATTTAAGGGTTTAGAGGGCTACGGGTTTAGGGAGTTCTGCCACCCCATAAGGAACCGCCCTTTTGGGTACTGCGGTTTGGGGTTCAGGGGTTCGGGGTCCGGGGGTTGAGTAGTGTAAGATCGGCGGCTTTGCACCTTTTCTGGCGATCCTGCCTTCCCCTAAACCCTAAAACCTGAAACACCGAAACACGAATCAAGACAGAAACTTCGCAGTCTCAACTAAGGACAGTGATGAACACACAAGGGTTTCACAGGCACTGCAAGGGTGTCCTGTGAAACCCTTGCCCTGAAACTTAATCCCGAGAGTCTAAGACTCGCAAGGTCTAGGCAGTCCGAACCACTCTCGGGAAGGGCTGAAGCCTGCAATTAGGGATTCCAGGGCTTCTTTAGACCAAGCATTGCAAAGGTTTCGTCATGCAAAAGGCCTGGGGCTTAGGGTTTGGGGATTGCGTCGCGTCCCAAAGTCGACTTTCGCCTTACATCAGAGAGCCCTAATGCCAGTGCGATCTAAGTCAATGTATCTAAACCTTCAACCCCACAGGTCGCACCCTTAAGACTAATGTAGGGGCCTTAAGAATTAGAATAGGGTTTTGGGGGGGGTTCCTTCTTATGATTTTAGTATACTATACCCCAAAACCTTATTCTAACTTTTAAGGCCCCTACATTGATGCTTTGTAGGATTTGGTTTTGATCCCACCTTGACCACGCCCACGACAACGGCAGACAGGCCGGCGCGCGTGGATAGGTACTGCAGGCTGGCCTCGTCCTTTCAGTAGGGTGTCTACAGTTTCCTGTTACAAAGGTGCGCTACGGGTTCTATGAGGGTTCAAGTCTAGGGTCTGAGATGAGGGGGCTAGTGGTACCATGGTTAGTATGGGGCCTGAATAATTGGACTAGGGTCTTGGGGGCAGATTAGATCATTCTGAGAAGAAGGAGCCGGAAGGGATCGTATTCTACTACGTAATTAACAAAGGCCCCTGGGCCCCGATAATGTGCATGATCCCTTGTTGTCCCTATTCGGGTACGACTTTACCTCTTATATGGCAGGACCAGGCTTAGAATCCCCCTCGTCCATGACTTGGTGTCCCGAAGCCCTCGTCAGAAACCGTAAACTCTAAACCCTAAACCCTAAACCCTAAGTTCACGGTTTAGGATGCCACCTATGATGTAGGAACCTGATGAAGGAACCTTGGGACTGTATCAGGCGTCTTTACAGGAATCCTAATGTTTGGGGTATATCAGATTCCTGCATTAGTCTCTATTGAAGTTCTTTTGTTGGGTTAAACCGACACGTAGGATCCTATGAGGTAGCACCAAAAAGGAACTACAATAGAGACTCTTAGGTAGATCGGCTCACCCTCCAACTCCTGTGCGAAAGGCCTTAGTCGAACATCAAACCTTGAGTAGCCTTGTTTTCGAACACCTCTGTCTGTACCCTGAAACCCCAAAAGGGGCCGATGTTCCTAGGAAGCAGAGTGTCGGGTTCCTAAATAGGAATTACAATTATGATTGAGAGAGAGAGGTATCCCCCGTAACAGTACATAGGACGCTTTGCAAACCCCGAGACCCCCAAGCCCTGCAACCAAAAGCCTCCATAGAGTCCTGAAGTTTACACACAAGACTTTGAACCCTTTCAATACTGTTGATGCTATAAACCCTGCATTACCTTAAGGACCCTAAACGATGGGAATTATGCTACATTCCTCATTATGGGTAATGCAGGATTTATACCATCAACCGTAGTTCTACCGACCATGTTCCCCCACTGAGGGTTTAGGGTCTGGGAGATCAACGCTCAGGGATGATCTGCTGCAGAATACCAACAGTCGTAGCTGCAGTCTGATTTGCCTTAGGATCTCTGGCCTGCCGTGGAGGGACTTTGGGGTTCAGCTTTCTTCTTGGAGGCCCAGGGGACTTAGTAAGTAGGTTATAAGTAGAGTTATATTTACCCTAAATGGAGTTACCCCAATTATAACCCTACTTATAACCGACTTACTAGGTCCCCTGGGCCTCCAAGTTTAAGCCGACATTTCTACAATCTACGCTCCACGTGGAGGGAGACCACTTCTTCTGACCAGGTTGAATCAACCGCAAGCAGGAGCTATACTGGAGGTAGACGTAGACCTACGGGCTAAACACAGGAAGACTACCTCTTCTATACACCAGCCTCCTCCTAGGGCGAAACCGAATTGCAACCACAAAGTTTAAATCTATCAAAGCTCCCGAACGTGCTCCGGTGGCGCCCGTCCTTGTGGCTGTCGTAGCTGACCTCTAGGTAAGGAAACCTCGGCGCCGCCAGAGCGCTTCATTGCATCTCTTAAAACCGCTAAATCTAAGCCCTGAACCCTACCTGTAGCCCCAAACCCTACAAAAGAGCAAGCTATGATACCACAACAACAAGGCTGAGCCCTAAACCGCAAGTATTCCCTGACCCCATGCCATCTGGAGAACAAGACTAGTCTCAGCAAGCGTAAGAGAATCGTCGGGCCCTCAGAAACCCTGGATATTGGTTGCTTACTTAAAAGAAAAACTACTAAACACAAACAAACAACATGGCAACTCTGATGACCTTAATCATGACGAAGACTGGTTCTATACTACTATAGTGAAAAACGCAGGGGTCGAGGTATTGCCCTGGATTTCTAATAAGAAGGAAGCTGGCTAATGCTGTTATTACATTTCCAGGGGTTAGATGCGAGTTCTTTGTAGTGTAGAAGCCCTATTCTCACATGCCCCGTATTTTAAACCCTTATTGTTGTACTCCTTTTTGACGCCTTGGAAAGGAACCAGCCCCTATTCTATTCAATATAAGGCCGCTATATTGGATCCTGACTCTGAGGAGCGGACTATATTCAATTTTAGCGCTTGCAGACAAGGCCACTGTTTGCGCTATGTACGTAGGTGTATGGACCCTGAACTACAATTCCTCACAATCCCCTACCGCTAAACCGATGAGCACGATCTTGCAAATGTGGGGGGGGGGGGGGGGGGGGGTGCAGAGGGACTGCACACTGCACAGTCTGTACAGCAACGAACTACCCACATGCTAGAGTGGGGTGTTGGAGTGTGTTATACCATTAAAGAACGAATGCTATAACTACTTTCCCGACCCCTGTATTCAGGTTATAGTATTGCAGTATAGGCCATGAATGGGCTGACGAGTAGACTACCTGCGCCATGAGTTTCTGACAACTCTACGAAAACAATAGCCGACTTACCACATCCCCGTTTAAAGGAAACTACAGGTGGGGANNGTATACAGGGCTTCTATACGGCTTCTATAAGGTATATAGATCTTCTATAAGGCTCCTATTTTAAAAACTACCCACCTGAACATGTCCTAGACTTGTTATCAACAAAAGCCTCTGAATCGGCTTGGCCCGCCCATGACATACCCGTGCAGTAAACTTGGCTTTCATGGTTTGTCTCAAAAAAGCTAAAGACTACCCACTGGACGTCCAGGAATAACTTTAAACCCCCTAAACCCTAAACATCCCTAAACCTTTCCCCTCCGGGCAGAAAGAATCTCCCCTGGTTCGGCTGCGGCACAAGGCATTTGGATGATCCCGCTCCAACTGATTGTGAAGGGTGTTCCTCGGTTTTGATTCTGATTGGTTCTCAACATTCACCCTAAGGGTCCATGTGCCCAAATACCTTAAACTAGTCCCTATTTACTTACTTGGAGTGCCAAAGTATGTATATATATATATACTATTTGGGCACATGGGCCCTTAGTGTGAGCGCCCTAGCTTCAGGGGCTTTACAACAGGGGTCCTACACCCTAAACCCTAAACCCTACTCTTCAGGGTTTTCTATTCGGGCAACATGTTTGCTGAAGTTCCCGAGACCTGTAGGCTCCGACCTCTTACCAGGACAAAACATATCAGGGCTTAGGCTTTAGGGTTTGGGGGTTTAGGGTTTAGGGTTGGCTTTGGCTTTGGGGCTTCAGTAGCAGTTTGCAAGAGTGTTATGAAGGATGCAAGAAATGTCTAAGGGAATCTGGCAAGCCCTATGTGAGACTTGAGCCCTCCGTGCTCAATCTACTAGGAGCAGGGAAGCTGCCCTTCTGAAGCGGCTTGTAAGCCCTGAACCCTATCAACTGAAAGCCTGTTTCGGGTTTGGGTTGTAGGGTGGCTGCGTCGCACTTAGGCCCAGCGTGTCGTAATTATTGGTTGGACCCTCCTTGAAACCCAAGTGCATGTCCGAACCTCCACTCAAACAAGGCCTAACGAAAAGGACGTTAACGACAACTAGTACGAAGCAGATATTCCAAAGCCGTCTCCTTCCAGTTAGCCATAAACTACGCACAAAGCAAAACCCTTACTTAGCCCTAAGTAAATAAACGCTAACCCCAAACCCTGAACCTCAAGCACAACGAGGCCTCCTTTAAAGCACAGCTAAGGCTCACGTTGGCAAGGAAGCCGGGTAGTGTGCTTCCCTGCGCCTGTGATTGATCGACAAGAGATCTAATTATGGTTGCACAACCCTAAACACGAAATCCAAGAGTTTAGGGTTTAGATGGTTTAGGGATATATACCCAGATCTTCCGATATAGGCTGTGACAGAAGGCAGCAGAACACCAGGCATGCACTTTTCGGACAGCAGGAAGTAGGAGGCAACGAGTTCAGGAGCAACGTAGAACAAAGGCGTCTCTGAACTACTCCAACGGATGTTTCAATGGCTGTAACTTGACATGAAAACCACTGGCAATGGTCGAGTGTTCCGACTGCGTGTCACCGATGTCTGCTCGCGTGTTGTGAGTGTCAGTCTCTCTGTAGCGTATGGTTGTCTGCATCATATTGAGTATGCCTAATGTGTCGATGTGTTCGTGTATATATATATATATAACATATATATATATATATATATTAATATATATGGCATGACATGACAAGGCTGTGTAAAATTTTCAGTAGGGACATCTACTTCGACCATCTAGATTTCATCAAATATCAATCTGCCTGTCTTGCCAAAGCACAGTGTATTTATATATATATATATGTATGTGTGTGTATGTTTACGGATATATGTATGAGTATATGTATGTATATGTGCGTGGGCTTTCCTAAAACCCTCGACCGAGGGTTGAGGTACATAGAGAGAGCAAGCCCACACACGCCCTTTGATGAATACCTCTTGCTTATGTTGTAGAGTTCCGATTCTGATGCACAGGCAAGCCCAAGCCAACATTCGTGAAATCTAAACTCAATGAAACTCCTATAGCCCCAACCACCGAGAAGCCTTGAGAAATCGCGCGTTCCCCGTCCGCAAGGCGAAGCCCACGAAATGGCGTCCAAATGCCTGCATCAGAAGATATGCAACCCTGAACCCAGACCCTTTACACTAAACCTTATAGACCTTGCAACACCCAAAGGGTCCTAGGTACTGTTGCGGGGGATACTTCCCCAAATCATAATACTAACTCTTAATATAGAAACCCTACATTCTACTATATAATTACTTCGGAAACTTTTGGACAATCATACACAGTCAGGGTAATTATACAGGCCGCCCCAGGAGCCTATAACCGTAAACCGTCCGGAGACTGTCAAAGCCCTCTTTGAATAAATCTAGTGTAGGAGCCTTAATTAGTATTTAGAAGGCTTGGGGCCAATGATACTAGAATTGTACTAAGGAACCTTCGAAATCTTAGGCCCCTATATTAACCTTTTCGAGTTGAATCAGCTTGAGCATGCCTGTAATGCAGGGGCCTTGGCAGTTTCAACCAGGTTTGGGTAGTTTCCTAGACTATGCCTGAAAAAGGAGTGCCCTAAGGAATAGTATTCGTAAGTATCCCAGAGGGTCCAGGTATACCACCAGTATGAAATTAAGGCTCTATCCTTATTCAGGTCTTGGGGGACCTATAATTCCATAAGAATGTATACTAATAGTAGAAAAGGACCGTTTAGGTATTTAAACTTCTCTGTTGCCATGGCGTGTCCTCACTTCTTTCGAGAGACTCGGGATCTCCGGGGCCGTGGTTTTGTTGGAAGGAATCTGCCACACTCAAAAACCGCAACAGGGTCCATGTACTTTTTGGGGTGTCTAAAGGGTTCTATAAGGGTACGTACGATACGGGTTTCGGGTTTAGGGTGGAAGGGCCCATGTACGGAAATAGTACTATACTTCGCCCCTGAGATAATCCCTAGGCCCTATTTGTACGTAGTCTGAGGCCGCAGTATACACTGCTCGGGCACATAGACCCTCAGGGAAACCGGGTTTGGCCTTGCGCCACTTCAAAGACATGTGAGTGCCAGAACATACTCCTTGGCCAACCACTGGACAATCAAAGAAGCCCCCTTCCAAGACGCCAGCATGATACCCTAAACCCTAAACCCTAAACCCTAAAACCCTGAACCCTAAACCCTAATTCCTTAGACTCTAAATCATAACCTATATAGCCCAAACTGGAAGCGCTTCAGGCTAAGGCTTTCGGATTTCAAGTTGGGCTTTTTCCTTAGCACCGGAAGAGCACCGAAGACCCAAGCTGATGTTGACGGTTTAGGGTTTAGGGTTTAGGGTTTTGAAAGGATCGGCCACAGAATTATACTGTCGAGGCCTTCCTAATTAGAAAAGGGTTTTTGGATACATTATACTACAATTACAATAAGGAACCCCCCCAAATAATACAGGTAACTATTTAGCGGAGCCGTTTTGCAAAGTCCTAGTAATACATGACCTGCTATGCAATTTGCACGGCGCTGCCAATGCAGCAGGATATGAGAGGCGACGGTACTGCAGAAACCTTTTGAAAATACTGCAGAAACCGTTTAAGAATGTACCCATAGGCCTAAAGTAGTTCCTTTTTTGGGGTTCATATATATATATATATAATCCCATAAGGTAACCCCCAAAATGGGGCCTATGGGTAGGGTTTAGGGTCAATCTTAGATTTGTTGATGCTTATTGATGCTTAACCCTCGAACAATTCCAGCACCCAAGCCCTACAATCCTTTGCAGGGCCTTAACGCGATGTTTTACAATATACCTGAAAGCGTGTTCGAACTATCCATGCCCCTATCTCATAAAACACTGACAATAACCTTATCGTAGAAACCCTACTCAGCTTATGACAAATAGATGACACCCCTACAGGGGTTATTCTCTCAAATTCGGCTCCCCTTTAAGCAACCCGAAAGAAGGCGGCACCCCTTATAAAAAGGACCCTAAACCCTAAACCCTAAACCCTAAACCTTCACTTGGAGAGCCACCTATACTTTGTTTCGAAGGGTTCCTCTGCAGCTCCGGCCTCAAGGGCGTTTTCGGCCGACAGCTCCGTCTCTGCGCAGGTGGCGGCCACGAGTCTGTAACTGACCTGACGGGTTTAGGGTTTAGGGTTTAGGGTTTAGGCTTTAGGCTTTAGGGTTTAGGGTTTAGGGTTTTAACTTTTGCTTCATGTGGGTTTAAGGTTTCGGGTTCAGGGTTTGGGGTTTAGGGTTTAGGATTATTACTATAAGGGATTGTTTGTGAAGTTCAATCAGTAGGTTCAAAAAAAACGGGGCCCGGTAAAAAATGGGGCCCTTGTACAAAGCCTGGGCCTCAATAGTAAGATCCCTCGGTATAGCCCCTGATGTCTTGCCAATACCAACTGTCCATAACATAGGCATCTCTTAACCATTACTATTAAGCGGCTTGCTGTATTCTTAGCTTGTTGTGTTGCCACTGTTGTGAATCCCAATATTCTGAATATTCTTATTGATGGTGGAATACTTGCTGTGCTCCCTTCGTCGGTGGTCCCTGGGCAAAGGCTTACAATTTTTGTTTTACCTGAACGGGTTTCCGGTTTATGCTACGGTGTATAGGTTTCGGGTAGATATGTGACTCTACACAACTTGTGACTTCTACACTTCTACACCCTGAACCTCAAACACCCACCCCGACAAACATCGATGAGGAGTGCCTGCGTGCCACCTGTGACGTGCCGCGTCTTGTCCGCCACAGGGGCATGCTGATTACAAGCTTTCAACATGTTGAAATGGATCCATGGGTAGTGGCAGGGACCTAAACCCTAAACCCTAAACCCTAAACCGGGACACTGCAACTGGCATTTAGGGTTGGAGGCTTAAGGAACTTCAACGACTACAAGCCTTCAACTCGGTCAACACTATGGCATGGCTATCCTCGAAGAAGCCGAGGAAGTGTCGAGGAAAGGAGCAGACCCACTTGTGTATAATGCTTTCTTTATGGTGGGCTTACCGGCCTGCCAAAATGCAACAATCCGAGACTTAGCCACGAATTGCAGGCTACTGTCCTCAACAATGGGTTATTACAGCAGAAACCGCCCCGGAATCCCTAAACCCTAAGCCCTAAGCCCCCGAATAAAACTCACGGTCCGAATCATTGGAATTGTTTTTTGCGACCTCATCAGGATGCTGGACCGTGTTCCTGAGTTGGCGCTGGGGGTTTATAAGGGTCAGAGTTTAAGGCTCAGGTTTCGGGTTTAGGATTTAGGGTTCAGGTTTACGGTTTAGGGTTGAGGATTCAGGTTTACGGTTTAGGGTTCAGGTTTAGGGTTTAGGGTTTAGGGTTTACAGAGAGGAATGGGATGGGATAGGGTTTACAGGACTGAGCCTCACTTGGGGTTTATTCGGTGTCGGGCTTGCAGGTTACACTTTGGGGCTCATAGACGGCAGGGGTGCGTTGTCTTCGGATGTTAACCACGGCACCATTGCAGGGGATTCGGGAATATCCAAACTCTAACCAGCTAGAAAACCTCGCTGCAAGCCTCCCCAAATACTTAAATCCAGCATATCCACTTCCCTGTGCGAAACAATGTCCGGTATCAAGTGCCCTAGTACCACGTCCTAATTTCACCTGGTAATTCGAAGCTGTGATGGCAGCCTATGATTCCGGAGCTCGGGGCTTCTTCGCATACGCCTGCCCCTCAATGGCACTGGCCGGGTTCAGGGCTTTAGGGTTTAGGGCTGGGGTTTAGGGTTTAGGGTTTAGGGTTTAGGGTTTAGGGTTTAGGGGTTTAGGGTTTAGGGTTTAGGGTTTGGGGTTTAGGGTTAAGTTTAGGGTTTAGGGGTTTAGGGTTCAGGGTTTGGGGTTTAGGGCCTAAGGTTTAGGGTTTTTCCATCCACTGCACCCTGATCCAGCCTCATCGCGAGCGGTTGCCATCGTAAAGGCGGTGAAAAACGAGAGGCCGGGCAGCCACAGTCTGATCAGAAGCTGAGTGTAAGGCGCAGTTCAATGGCATTTAGCCATGGGTTTTGTCCGCCACCATCAAGAGGTTCGCATAAACTAGAGCGTGTAAAAAAGACGCCAATGCTCATGAAGCAACCGAGCTCCACAATTAATCTGCGCCACGATGACGTCGGCGTGGTTTCCCGGGATCCTTACCCAAGGCAAGCCTGATAATCTTAACCCTGAGCCTAAGCCGAAGATCGAACAACTGCAGTCCCGCAAAGCCCTACAAGCACGCTGCAGAGCCTTCCGAATACATAATCCACGAAGTATATAAGCCGAGGAACCATTAAGTGAAGATCAAAACCGTGAAACCCGGACCCAATTTCGATTTTCTATAGCCTGTAACCACCCTAAAACTCTGAAGCAAGCCGAAAATCAAACCCTGAACCCCTAAACCAAAGGCCCACAATCAACTCCATGCCTAAACCCTAAACCCTAAACCCTAAACCACCCTTACCTAAATCCTGCAAACAAACACAATCTGAAAACCTTCATCTCCCAGAAAGCCGAAGATAAACACCAAAACCTATGAAATCACCTTAATTAAAGGAAACTACAGGTGGGGAGTTTAGGGGATATAGGGCTTCTACAAGGATTCTACAAGGTATATAGTATATAGACCTTTTATAAGGCTCCTAGAACGGTAACTACCTACCTGAACATGTCCTAGATAGTTACCTAAATCCCCACAGAGAATTAAAAGCGAACAGTTGTACCGATGATTCAGGCTTCTGTGTTAACCCTAAACCCTAAACCCTAAACCCTAAACCCTAAACCCTAAGCCCTAAGCCGGGGATCAAAACCGCATCCTCTTCGAGGCCAGCCCTAAGCAGGATCGCGCTCCAAACGTTCTGACCAAAGGCTTCCAGCACCTGGGTTTAGGGTTTAGGGTTTAGGGTTTAGGGTTTAGGGTTTAGGGTTTAGGGTTTAGGGTTTAGGGGCTACTTTGGGGGTTCCCCAAAATAGGGGACCGTAATTTAGTACCCCAAATAGTAGGATCCCTATTATAAGGACCCCAAAATAAGGTACCCCCCTATTTTCGATTCGACGCTAAACCCAAAGCCCTGAACCCCACAGCCCGAAACACTGAACCCTTAAGCCCTAAACCCTAAATCCTGAACCCTTAAACCCTGA